GACCGAAAGCACTGTATCGAACGGTTCACTATCGATAGGATTATTGTTGCACCCCTAATATATATATATATGTATGTATGTATACACACTGTTTCTTGAATCATTAAATCATTAGTTTTTCCATGACACAATCGGTTTAAGTTTTGGCAGCTGTTTAATGTTTAGTACTACCTCACGGTTTTCAAACACCAAGTAATTTCCCGGTTGATGTGTAATAAAATTGCTTTCAAATGTGTCCTGACTGTATGCCAGTGTCTTTAGCTTCCAAGAATTTACTGGAATTATGGTACACTGCTTGGGATGTAGTGACATACTTCCACACAGAGTCCCGACTAATCATCTGCATTTATTTTCCATTTTAGAGAGAAAGCTTTGCTTTGTATGCCCTTTACAGCAAGAACAAGCCCCAGTCTGACAGTCTCCTGATCAATCACGGGCAGGCTTTTTTCAAGGTGAGATCACAAATGTGGACCTTCTCTCCAGGATGCCACAGATATGTAGTCGCTATGTAGGATGCTTTTAAAAAACGCTGTTGTTTCAGGAATAAAAACATCTCTTTGTATACCTCTGAACCTCTCTAGTGCTATTTTTTTTTTTGCATTTTATTTATTTTTTGTATTTATTTTTTGGTTTTTTTGTTAAATTGCCCAGTAGATGCCTCATTCTGACCACTTGCAGTCGTGCATGTGTGATTAGAGCAGAAGACGTGTCAAAACGTAGACCCTTCAAGTCTTGTTTTGGAGAAGAGATGACAAATCAGTCCTCTAAGGCAATGCTGAAATTCCAAATACATTGCAATATTGTATTGTATTGTATTGCTAGTTGACTGAATGGGACTTGCAAGAAGTGATGTAATCAGGAGCGCTGGATGCAATTCAGAGGTACACATGTAGTCATATTTAAATTAGTTAAGGTGTTGACTGCAGCTCATTAAAAGTTTGTAGAGTGATATAGTTATTACAAATCCTGTAATAAGGATTTTATGAGAATTCCTTTAATAGCTATGTTAGTGGAGAAACTGACTGACTGAAGCTGACAGATTTTGCCATTATAAAAGGCATTTATTCAAAAAATGTTCTTCTAATCTCACTCATCCAATGTCCCATCACACACACGCATGATTTTAACCATGTCATACACCTTTTTTAGCCTGTACAGATATTCACCAGACCTTTTATAACAATACTGCTTTGTTTCCTCTTTTCTCGTACCAGCAAAAGCAGCTGAAGCTGGGGGATAAAATGGACTTATGGTCGTACCTGTTGAAGCCTGTGCAGCGCATTAGTAAGTACAGTTTGCTGCTGCAGGACATGATGAGGGAGTGCGATCCGGGACAAATCAGAGAGATAGCTGAGCTAAAGGCAGCCCTTGAGGTCATCCACTTCCAGCTTCGTCATGGCAACAACTTGCTGGCCATGGACGCCATCCACCACTGTGATGTAAGAAGGACTCTAGTAGCGTTAGCTTTAGTTCTGTGTAATTTGATTATCATGATTACAAGATGTGAAGTTTTTAAGTGTTATATGCATATTACAAAATATAGTATGAATGTACACTGGTTTGTCATGCTGTTGTGCAACATCTATGGAGTTTAAGCAGCAAAGTAGGGAAACAGGTACAGGCAGGTCAATATAAATACTCAGAAACATTCATCATTTCTTGGTTTTGTGCAATAGCACTGCTAAGACAGAACATGCATAGGAGAGGCTAGGATATGATTAACAAGGAGAATTCATTAGCCTCATTCATAGGAATCCAAAGTGAGGTGGTGTGTGTGTGGAGGACGTGGTGGTCTGGAGCTCCATTATCTGAGAGCCCCGACAGAGGGGGTGAAGATTCACAGGAATTTTGTGGGTTACGGTATTTTGTTAACTTGATGACCTCTCTCCTGTCAAAAGTAGTTAAAAGGTTCAGTATCTTGTTTTGCTGCTTAAATTTATTTGATTTTTTCTTTAGCTGAATTTAGAAGGTTGATAATTATTCAAAGGATCGTACATTTAAAATGTAGTTTTTTGCATTTGTGATGGGTACAGCACTGCAAATGACCCTACTGAGCCACACTTAATAACTCTTTTGTGTACTACAGGTTAATCTAAAGGAGCAAGGGCAGCTGATTCGTCAGGATGAGTTTTTGGTAACTTTTAGGAAGAAGAAATGTTTCCGTCACATTTTCCTTTTTCAAGAACTCATCCTCTTTAGCAAGACAAGGAAGACTGACATTGGAAATGACACATACATCTATAAACAGTCATTCAAGGTACACGTACTGCGCAAACACAAACACGCACGCATGCAAAGTGCTTCAAATGCAGAATTTTTTTGTGATTCATCACAGCAAATGAAAGTTCATTCAAGAAACTTCCCCTTTATAACAAGTCACTATAAAATTACTTATTGCAAACTGCAAATGACTGTTATAGTGACAGTTTTTCCATTTGGTGTCATAACTTAGGACAATTTCCTCTTTGCATACATGAAGGGGAAGACTCACAACGCACACAAACCAGCTTGGCCTTTACCGGAACCTTTATCCAATGTGACACATAATATAGAACTATACTCAGTAGTGTATATCAAAAACAATTACCAGTCACAATATTTTGACGAAGTTTTTCTGAATAATTCAATAATGGTAAATGGCCTGTATTTATATAGCGCTTTTACTAGTCCCTAAGGACCCCAAAGCGCTTTACATATCCAGTCATCCACCCATTCACACACTGGTGATGGCAAGCTACATTGTAGCCACAGCCACCCTGGGGCGCACTGACAGAGGCGAGGCTGCCGGACACTGGCGCCACCGGGCCCTCTGACCACCACCAGTAGGCAACGGGTGAAGTGTCTTGCCCAAGGACACAATGACCGAGACTGTCCGAGCCGGGGCTCGAACCGGCAACCTTCCGATTACAAGGCGAACTCCCAACTCTTGAGCCACGATCGCCCGGGTTAATATACCCATAAACCTTGAGCTGCAACTTATAAAAACAGTCCTTTTGTGAAAATTTGCAAGTACCCTTACTTAAGAGTCACCATTTTAACACAGCTCAGCTCTTTATTTTAAGTCCTGTCTGGCACACTGATACTCCTCAAGAGGACTTGGATATTTGCCTGTGGTTTTACAAATGTACCAAGGTGCTTGCTGTATTTACAAAAACCTATAATCTAACACAAACACATTATCTTTCTCTGTATTCAGACCTCTGACATAGGAATGACACAAAACACCGGTGACACCGGTTTGTGTTTTGAGATCTGGTTCAGAAAGAGGAAAAGTCAGGACACATACACTCTGCAAGCAGCCAGCCGTGAAGTGAAGGAGGCTTGGGCCAGGGACCTGGAACGGATACTCTGGGAACAGGCTATACACAACAGAGGTACGGCATCTACATATAAACACACACCAATTACTACATTTGGAGGATTCATTTCATAAAAGAAAAAAAAAAACCCAGCGCAGCATATCTAGCTGCACAATTAGTCAATGAATGTACCATTTGAAAATTACACAAATGGTTTCACATGTTATCTTTTTAGAGGTTCGTTTGCAGGAGAGAGTGTTTCTGGGTATTGGAAACAAGCCTTTTATGGACATTCAGCCCAGTGAGGCAGCCATCAATGATCGAGCCATTGACTATGTACTGATGGGGAGAGGTGAGTATTTGATGTTTTTAAATAAATTTGTGACTTCTCAGACCCTTACACCCTTTCTTGTTGCAGAAAACAGAGGCCTGTTCTCTGTGGGATCATGTGCATCACGGGACGAGCTTCCAGGAGGGCGGCCAAAGTCCGCTGGTTCAAGGAGCAGCTCTTCTTCCTCCTCGTCCTCTGGACGGGGCTCCCTCTCCCCTGTGGGGTACTTGTGTGGACCAAAGCAGAAGGTGATTGCAGGGGTCCTTGGACGATATGCATCACCCCCAGGAGCCCTGGAGGAGGACGATCTTGACCAAGAGAGTGGAAGTCAGCATTTATTGTGTGAGTGAAACCTTGATCAGAGTAAAAAGTATGTGATACATTTTTATTACACAAAGTCAAATGACCAGTCAAATGAAGAGGGTATTTCTCAATGAACCAGAAGGAAAGTATATACTTTGATGTACCCCAAAACTTCCTATTGTTATGAGAGTGTTTCTGATGACCCCTGAACAGGTTTACAGTATCAGGGTATTGTGTTTCAAGCCTCAGAGAATTTCCTCTACAAGCTATGGGGCCAACGGTCAGAGATCAGGGCAGATTTCTTTTCAAGAGAGCCAAAGGTATTTCAATAGCAAAGCTAATTCCTAAAAAGCTGTTTGGCCCTCAGCTGTCGGCTATATTTAGGAACTTTCTCTCACCACTATGTAGTAGCGGGAGAAGTTTGTCCCGTGACATAATTGATGGCAGACTTTGATCATCCCTCAGTTCAACCAATCATGCACGTACAATGTTAACAAAGAAACTTTTCTTTGTTTCAGTGGACAGCTCAGAGTCGTCAGGCGAGAGCGTAAGCGGCTTCAGCAGTTCCAGTCACAGCTACCACTCTGCTATCGGAGGAGAGGTGGAGGACGTAATCACTGTTAAGGAGTCAGTGATTGCTCAGCCAACTGAGGCTTCCAGCATTCTTGCAGGAACCACAAAAAAAACCCAACCACCAGTTCCACCCAAACCCAAGCACAAACCAAAAGATCACAGCAAGAATCTGCCCTGCAGCAAGGTGCAGTACGGATCTGAGTAAAAGGTCATTTGGTTAAAACCAACCTGGTCATAAATCACTCACAGATGTATTCACCACTGAGTGAAGTCACTCTCATTTCTGCTTGTAAGCTGCTTTGTAGCTTACATGTGTGGTTTTGAATGTCAGTAATGAATCTTCTATTGTGACCAGTCTTAAATATTCCTTTTTAATTATTATCTCTCAGGTACAAAGCACCGCTTTTGGAAAGTCCACTGATGTTTGAGAGCTAAGATATATATAAGGTATAGTAAAAGTAATGCAGTTTTACATCACCTATATCTTTTAATGTTGCATAAAACACTAATGAAAGGGAGGCACGTGAATAATCCACTGTTCTATTGTGAGAAGCAGTTATTTTTACATTTCTTCTTCATTTCTTCATTTTTCTGCAGATGTCTAAGCAGCCTGCGAGTCTGTGCCCACAACCAAAGGAGACATCACTTTATTCCAGCTGTTACTGTAATGTCATACAACTCTGTAAATAAAGCTTCTTTTGATGTCACCACTAAAACCATAGGTCAAGAAATCATCTGTGTGTTGTATTCTCACTATAAATGGTGATAAATGTCAGTTTGAAATACCTGACGTGGCTTTTTTTGCACTATATATTAGGTTAGTTTTATATCTTAAGCTGCAGTCTCTGTGTCTATGTGTATTTGCTATTCATAATACATTGTGAGATTACTGTGTACTCTGAAATGTGGATTTTATCATTGTTAAATAAAAACACAACATAATGCCGTCTTTTTCAAATCTATTGCCAAATGTTGTACGAATGATGGAAGCCTCAGCAGTACTCAAAGCACAACTAATTTCCTCTGGAAACAAATCCTTTGCTTTTTCTTTTAACAATTTTTTTTTATAATTTCACATATTACCGGTCTGAAGATATTGTTACATGACTTTCATACTGAAATACACAATATAAACAGTGATGTTGCCTGTTTGATTTTGCATGGCCTTTTTCACACCTCAATATGAAAACATTTGGTGACCAAAGTGGCGACATTAGGAGCTTAACTGCCAGGTCAGACTTGCACTAGCTGGACAAAGTAAATGAGCCATCAGGGCATCATCATCATCATCATCATCATCACCACCATGTTTTGAGTACCTCACTCAAAAAACAGAAATTGAGTGGTTGTTAAATTTACAAAAGTCTAACTTGTAATTTGAACAAAATACTTTCATGTTTCTAGTAAGAGTGGTTAGTTACCTTGACTCTCGAAATGCAGAAGATCCCATGAGATTTCAAACCACAGGAAAACCACTGGGGTTTAACCTGTCAAGGACAAAAATGTAAAGAGAACTCTGTATCAAGCCTTGTAACCCGCACTGTATCAACCCTGATAAAGTTGAGAGATAGATGGAGTAGAATTTCTTAAAAATCCTTTAAAATGTTATGTTAACCTGATTCTAGACTTTGTTGAACACTCGAGTATTTTGTCAGACTAACGTAATTTGCATGGGTTCGATCCACTATGTCAAATTTAGTTGGGCTCAACTACAGCAAATAAATTGACTCTTTATTAATTAAGTTAGTACAACTCAAGTATATTAAGTTGGAATAACAGATTTGCATAATATGAAAATAAAGAAATTTAATCGCGTGGAAAAATTTTCCATGATTTTTTTTAATGTTCATTCAAAGATTTTTTTTTCAGTGCTCAATAAATATTACATTTACCTTTCTCCCGTGTTTCTACCACCCTGTTGCTCGTGTGTATTGACACATAAAAATTCTTTTGAAATTTACTGTTGAACTAATCGGTCTCTCTGTACCTGTGACTCATAGAAAAATTTACCCAAGCTGATGCTCATGTCAACACCACTTATGAAAAGCTCCCAGCTGTGTGAAAAACCTAAAGTGTTTCTAACATCTGTCTACTTTAGCTGGTGTTTAAGTCTATGGCAACTCCAACAATCAAAAGATAAAACACTGTAAACTAGTGTGTGATGATTTCTCCCACTCTCTGGTTTGTGTCCTGGAAGAAATCACAGCTGTTGTCATTCAGCTAATTGTTTAAGGATGGCCTGATGAATAACATTTGCTCTCTTCTCCCCGTCAGATAAGCTCATTTTTTGTTCTGTTTTTTAGGTTTGATTTGGGTTTATTTCAAGGGTCTAACCACTGTATCTTTCTTTTCAGATAAAATCCATGATTTATTTATTTATTACTGTTGCACTTCATTATCTGCGTGGTCTCCCTGTGTTTTTTTGTCTAAACTTGGACCTGGTTTGTGACACTGAGGGCTTGTCCATTTTAAAATGGGCTAAAACTGGGTTTCCGGCCTGTTTTGGGTGACTATTAGAAAGGCTTATTTGTTGTCACTAGAGCAAGTCTGGGAGATCCATATCGATTTGTGGGTTGGTGAAGAACGCACTAGTTTGGTCAGTGTTTTTGCTCATCTGGTTTATTTTCTTGTACAGAAGTTGGTTCTTTGTGAATGGTTTGGTGTTAGAATAAGATTCGTCTGCTAGGTGTTTATATAATGGGTTTCATAGGTAACCTGTAGGAATCCACTGTGTTAGTGTAGTGTAGTGGGGAACGTGTGAACAACTCATTGTTTCCAGTTGCTTTTTTAAGCCACTGATTTAGAGTGTGTAAGAATGCCATACAAGTAACTATCTGAATGCTAGGCTTGAGTTGGTTATTTCTTTTGTGAAAGAGCTTGTTTTGCTTTTTCAATTTAATTCAGTTTTGTTTATACTGTGTCAAATTACAACAACAGTTGTTTCAAGGCACTATACATTGTTTGGTAAAAACCCTACAATGATACGAATAAAACAGAAAGCCAGCAATCATATGATCCCCTACGAGCAAATGCTTTGGCAACAGTGGGAAGGGAAAAAACTCCCTTTTAACAGGAAGAAACCTGCAGCAGAACCAGGGTCCGGGACGGGCGGCCATCTGCCAAGGTCAGTTGGAGTGAGAGAAGAAAGACAGGACAAAAGACATGCTGTGGAAGAGAGCTGAGATTAATAATAAGTAATGCTTCAGAGAGGTGTAAACACAATCAGTTATTAATTCATGTACAAACAGGGACTTGGAAGAGAGAGACCTAATGTTTAGTTATCCACATTCAACTGTTTTACTCTTTGGTGCAATTGTGGAAACTGTATTATTCTTTCTTTGTGATTTTTTTTTATGTTTAAGTCATTTTGCTGATCTTCAGTTAGTTTTTTTGTTGTTTTGGAGCAGACGCAGTCTCTTAGGGGGTTTTGGGGGGATAACAGGTGGAGAGAAGCTGCGAAGAGGTGTGTAAGACTGCAATTCTGCTTCTTAGTCTCAACTCTGGATTGAGCAAACTGGTGGTAAAACAGATCACTTCCATAGAAAATGTTGGGGAACATGAGCCAACTGCTGCAACTAGTGAGTCACTAACAATGCAATATGAGAAAATGGGAACAAATGGGAGGTCTAGGAGTCCAGAGGATGGTGCGATGATAAGTGCACTCTTTTTCTTCAGTGTGCTGACTGACAAAGTTCAGGAGGCTTATGCTTCATATATATATGACATGATATCCTTGGG